TCTGTCTGTCTGTCTGTCTGTCTGTCTCTATCTCTCTTAGAGAGAAAATTGTGATGAAGGGGGAACTCCTTTATATATTTATTTTCTTTTTCTTTACTATATTCTTATTTTTTCTTTCTTTTCTATTTTTCTATTTTTTCTCTTTTTTCCTTTTCTGTGCCTTTTTTCTTTTTATTCTTTTCTTATTTATTTTCTTTTTCTTTACTATATTCTTATTTTTTCTTTCTTTTCTATTTTTCTATTTTTTCTCTTTTTTCCTTTTCTGTGCCTTTTTTCTTTTTATTCTTTTCTCTCTTTTTTGGTTTGTATTCGTTTTTATTGTTGTAAACTGTAATCTTTAATAAAATTGCTATTAAAAAAATGAATAGTTTGTACAGCAACTATTCTTCAACTCCAGCCTTGCTTTCTCCCTTTTGCCAGGTTTATTTAAATGTTTTGTATATAAGTGAATAGTAAATACTGCAGTAGACAACAAACACACAAATTTGTCTTTTTTTTTCTTTTTTTTTTGTGGAGAGGAATTGGGATTTGAATGGAAATGAGCTGAGTGCACCAAGCAAAACTCTAGAATTAATACTGTGGGTGGTCCAGGAATATTCTGGTCAGAATTCTAGTAATGGTTACTAAAATGTGCCGAGCATTTTGTTTTTCTCTATCATCTAATTATCTTGATACCTACTTTGTCTTTGCTGCTTCTGGGAATTAATTCCAATAAGTATTCTAGCTACATCAGCAAATTCTTAAGAAGTTGTTTGCAGACCCTGATACAATTTTTACCCTTTTCCGTTTTAATGAGAGCATATACTATGATAGTCTCTCAATTATTTCTTTCTTTATATTAAGATGCAGTCACAGTTAAAGTGAATAAGACTTTCAGGTAAAATAAATAATTCCGTGAGCAGCTAATATTATCCACAGAGGGCATCTTTGTGGATAATAGATTGACATGTTAAATATGGGGCTCCTTGATCTGATTAAAATATAACAATAAGCTGTAATGTGGTATGCTTGGTTTTTGTATTTTGTGCCCATACACTGGCTTACTACAGATGGAGGAGAAAGAGGGAGAAGGTAGTTGCCACCTTTGTTGTATTCTGCTCCATATGTTGTTGAAATTGCAGCTGCTGCCAAAAATCTGGCTACTGGGCAAAGTAGAAGTAGCGGTGCCATTTTCCTAATCACCACAAAGGGAAGAAATAAGTGATGTCATGAAGTCTGGACTGGAGCAGAAGTACATTTCCGTATATGGCAGATAAGTTGATGGGGCTGCCTGCCTCTCTTTAGGTCTTCCTCCATCTCTTTCTCTTTGCTTCCTTGAGGAGAAAAATGTGCCACTCTTTGGTTCCCCTTCACACTTTTCACTCTGGGTTTCAGGGAAATAAAATCATTTTGTGAAAGAGTCCCCTCCTCCCCAAAAGAAAGGAAAAAAGAATGAATACAGGAGGAAACTTGCTGCATCATCCCAAGCAGCCTTCCCCCACCTTGGGCCCATGAAGGAGCTAAGGAGGGACCAGAGTGAAGAAACTCAATGAAGCCTGAAGTCTTTCCATGGGACAGGCCAATCAGGTAGACAAATTGTGCCTGTACAGTAAAAACTGGAAAGAGTCACTTTGGGATCACCATTGAAGCTAAAGAGGCAAAAGGACTGAACTGCAACAGCTTTGGCTAAAGTACCTGCAAAGGACTGGAGCAAGGGAAGAATCCTGTACTTGTTCCTCAGTTGCCTCTAGTAGGAAAAATTTTGAAATAGGAGCAGGGGGACTGGAAATAAATGTGCCTTCCTTGGAAAGTGTCCTTCTGAAATATGGTCTGTCTGCAGGCCTTCTAAAGCTGTTGGTCTACAGTGTCCAGCAACCTGCACCCTTGGCCAGAATGGCCAAGGCAATTCAGCAACGTTTGGAAGGCCACAGATTATAAATAAAAATTAATTTTAAGATTATGTAACTTTTGTGTCTGTATATGAAAAGTCTTCAGTATTGTGATCCTTGAGCTAATGAAATAGCCCTTGTGCAGCACTTGGAATGATGAGTGTGAGACCCCTGGTTTAGCAGAAGAAATGGAAAATAACAGCTGCAATCTCCCATAGACACTGCCTGTTCAGACTGCAGTTCTCGTATATGCATACCTTTGGGCCTCTCTTGGGAGTCTGTGATATGCAGGAACATTTGTTTTTCCATCCAGATTCCTCTTCATGTCAAAGATGTCTCTATTTGTCACAAGTATTTCCTTCAGTATAACAGCAGAAACTAGCAAATGTGTGAGTGCTCTTCAGAACTGTCTCATCCATGTACTGGAGATCTCTATCAGAAGCTTAGGATGTGGAGAGACTGGAACTCTCAGCATTAATAAGAATAGATATTCCACACCAGGGCACTTGCTTTTACAGATGATTGTATATATTGCCAGTTTCAGAGGAAAGTAAACTAATTGCCAATTGGCTCTCCTATTTTCAGCTAATCAGGGAATAATATCACCACAGTTATGACAAGAGGAAAACCAAGGGCCTTGTACAAGTCTGGAATGATAATTGCTAGTTCACGTGACTTCTGTGCGTGCTCAAATTGGGAGATTTGGGGAAAAGCAAAATTGGAATGAAATAATGTTTTGTTCCCAAGATAGCAACTAAAGTCTAATATCTTGTATTTCTATATATGCTGTTTCACAATCCCTAGAGTTACAATTATTTTCTTGCAGTGGGGTATTAATTCTTTTCTTCCACTAAATCTATAAAGAGGTCAACAAACAAAGGTCTGCTCAGTGGTATCATGGTGAAAGCTAAGGGAGTTAAATTGCTTCTTAGGGCAAGAATTTGTGACAAAAGCAATTCAATTACTCTCTTCATAAATAGTACTCTTTCACTAATTAGAGATAAACATTCACAGGTATTCAAGAATTGCAAGCCTTTATTAAATAAGGGAAATTACGCTATAGGACATTAAGGCTATAGAACTGTGTTGGGCAAGGGATGTGTAATGCTTCAGATGTTGCTGAACTATAACTCCCAGTATCATTACTGGTCATGCTGGTTGGCACTCCTAGGAGTTGAAATTCAATAGAATCTGAATGACCACATGTTCCTCTGTGTTAGTTACAGTTGGAGAATTTCCAGCATCCCACTGGATAAAACCAGTTTGTTTAAATGTAATTAAAACTATCTGATTGACAAATTGCATTCATTCCATATTGAGTTAAAGCGATGCCCATTTAGGCAGAATGCAGCAACACCATAGAAAATAACAGTTTTTAATGATAGTGTTACAAATTATGATCTTCAGCTAAAGAAAAGAATGGGGACTGTAAATCCACAAAGAACTGTTCTTTGAAAAGTTGTCATCTAAAACTTTTGTAGCTGTTCTCCAACCTGCTGTGCCTATCTTGTTGCCAAAATTCTACTAGGTTTTCTTGAATGCCACCCAGAAATTGAGATATTTTTCACCTTGAGAGGAGTTTATAAAAAAGAAACAAATTCAGTCTTTTCATTTTTGCATTGTCCAGTATCTCTGTTTCCCTCCCCCATTTTCCAAAATTCCTTCCAAGCTGTTAGGGATGATCGTCTGTATTCATCTAGAGGAGACTGGTATTTACTTCTCCTTAAAGGTGATATCAGGAAATTTGAACTAGAACAGTGTGAGAAAGCAATTAAAATGCAACCAAAAAACTATGCATTCCACTGCTTCATAGGATTGCAGGTTTTTAATTTGCTAAACTCAGTTTGGGAGTCCCTAGCCTCTCCATTTAGACTTTCAGCTTATTGATGAAGGTGGCGGCCGTTCTAATGCCATGGACTACAAATCAGATTGAGAATAGAACCATCATATGTCTTTCACACATATACCTAATTGAACCCATTAAAATCATTTGCTCTCTGTGTTTCAGGAGAATTGAGAGTTCCGTTATCTTGAAGTTGAGTTCCCAGCACAGAACTGTATGATGTTGGGGTTGTGTGTTTCAGACAGAATGATATTCAGCAAGCTGATGTTTAATTTCCATTGTGTTTTTGTGAGGCAGGTTTTGGAAGTAGTGCGCTCCAACTATGATACACTCACCTTAAAATTACAGGATGGCCTTGACCAATATGAGCGCTATTCAGAACAACACAAAGAATCTGCTTTCTTTAAAGAGCTGGTGAGTTTTCATTCTCTAATAAAAGGGTCATATAATTGGTTCATGATCCAACTTGTAGTTGCAGCCATAATGCAACAAAAACTGCCCTTATATTCACCAAATATATGGATTATCTAGCTGTAGAAGCCTCAGCACTGATTTCAGTTGGATGGTGGGCAAGTATACTTAGACACATGCTTTATCTCTGTTTGGTTTGGGATTCCTTGAATTCTTTGTTGCATGTTCCTGAAGGGAGCTGGAGATAGGTCTTTGAGAGCTTTTTTTACATGCTTATGAAGCCTTTTCTCAAAAGGCAGAGAAATCTCATGCTTTCTGGTTCAGCATTTTACAACAGATCTATTGATGAAGCAGAAATAAGTGTTTTCTCACAAAGCAGACTTTATGCTGTAATTTGAAATGTTCTGTTAGGATATCCTATTCTCACAAGTTGCGCATGCCAAGAGCTGACTACTGATTAGGCCTGTGCAGGGCAGCCTTGATTCATTTTGACAAGATACTTTGCACCATGAAAATGAGGCCATTTACCTCACTGAGATGAAGTGGCAACAGGAATTGCCTGGTCAAGGTGCTTTCTGTCCCCTTATACCTTCCTCTTAGTCTTCTAGCATTTGCAGAAGCCACTTCAGTCATGAGGGAGCTCACACAGTCATGAGAAGCAGCTTCAAGGGGATACTTCACTGAACCTTCATTGATAGGTGCAGCTTATTTTCCTATTCTCCCACCGCTTCAAAAAAATGTCTCCACTCTAATGTATTTCTGTGGTTTATTGGGCATTCTTTGCCAGGTTATCCCCATATTCCTTACTGCAAATACAGAACAATGGCAGATGACTACCATTAATGCTTTTCATTTTTTAAAGTATAAATATCATTATAATGATTTTTTCCTGCATTACACAGAGATAACCATGTTTGTTCCCATCTGTGTAGCAGGAGCATAGTTGTTCTCATATGCTATGTTTGGGGGGGGGGGTGTTACCCAGAAAATATGCTGCCTCTATTCTTGCCTACATCCTTTTATTCACTAGTTGAAGAGTTTTATCTTTGATTAAAATGAGAACGTTGTTTTTCCTAATTTGTGGAAGTTATGTTTCTTTGAAGAAACTATCCTGATAAATACTAACAGTTTGATTTTGTATCACTGAGAATAATTAGTGTCACTGCCAACAAATCTCTCTCTCAATATGTGGCATGCCCAAATGGTGGTACCAGGAAGCCTTTTTCATTATTTTTCCATTGGTGATTAAACAACAACCAGTTTAATTTCTTTTTTAGAGGAATAATCTCTATTTCCCTAGAGACTAATTTAGCCTCATCCAAGCCAAGCCCTTACTGAAAGCTACAACCTCCTGACAGTATATTTCCTGAGTTCACTATCAAAGTAGAAGAGAGGAATCCAGCTGATCTGGTGTAGTGCTGTGCTGACAAAATACCGTACTACTCTTTTTACCATCACAATGTTTTTTTCTTTTAGGTTCACAAATACCATGTACCTTCCCTAGAAGATATATTTTCATAAGATTATATCACACAGGTTGATGAGTAAGATCAAAGCATGTGGATTCCTCTTCTACTTTTACTTGGGTGTACAAAGTGCACATTTTTTAAAATTTATTCATCTATTGTGATGGTTTATTTAAGATAGTTTGTATTGTTGTCTCATAGAGCACTCTGGGCTCCCCTGTGGAGAAAACCAATATAGAAACAACATAAATTAAAAAGAAAAAAGAAAATAATGTGCAGAATGATAGCATAATAGACAAATGCAAAAGCCTCCTCCTCGCTCTTCCTTCCAAAGGGAAGCCTCGAATCTGCTTCGTACTGTGGGTTCACTGAAATGTGAGTAGCCAGGTAGAGCTTTTGGGAAATGAGCAGAATCACATGGAGGTAAATTCAGGAAGTAACTGCATACCACGAGTCTGGCCTAGAGCTGGAAAAAGTCCTGCAATCATGGAAATTGCCAAATGATTAAGATTGATAGTACTGTGGACAGCTCCTACACGTACCACCATCTGTGCAAAACTAACTTTTTTAAGTAGGGCAGACTCTGCAACTTGCAAAAATTTAAGGAAGAATTTGATCTCTTAAAGAACCTATGTTCTAGCTGAATTCTCTCATTTGCTTTTCTATTTTCTCTTGAAGAGCCTGTTAACATCTTGAGTGAGGGACCACTGATAGATATGGTTTAGGGTTAACTGGCAAAGCGGCTTATTAGAATATTCAAGCTAGTTGTTTGGTTGGCATGCGCTGCTTGTTCCTGGATCCCTATCAAATAAGAACTATTTTCAGTAATGGAATCATGTGCTTGCCCTCAGATGGCCTTATGGGTCCATATCTATGTCACTATTCAGGGGCAGGCATGTGGAAGTGGTTGTTCGAAGAAAATTTTTAATATTACAGTGAGCTACCTGGTGAAAGGAATGCAGATACTTGTCTGTTGTTAAATAAAGTATAGGAAAGTATTGGTAAATTCATTATTACTCATGATAGGAATGACTTACTGTCATGTCTAGGCTTGTAGACTAAACTCTGGCATTGGGTTATGCTTCTTTTTTCATATGGATTTTTTTTTTATGCTGCTAATGCAACAATATAATCACATAAGCACATTTTTTGTATCTAGTAGAAATACAAGCTAGATCTAACAAATGACATATAGACTTCCATGCAAAAGAATTTACTATATTAAAGGCTGGCCTATTCAAGGCCTCCTTAAAGCTAGAGGTACTGGGCTGAATCGGTTATATTATAGTGATTGTTCTGTCTCCTACAGGTTCGGTCCATCAGCATCAATGTACGGCGAAATCTGGCATTCAACACTCTCAGCCAGGAAGCCCTGCTAAAAGAGTTTTCAACCATCTCCTGAAGCTGCGTTATCTACTTGCTTCATAACTAGTCCTGGTATTACTGCACCCCCTTCTCCAGAATAGCTCCTGGATGTGGAATGGTCTAACTCTACTGTGTGGTTTTGTTTCTGTTTTTGGTTTTTTCAGGAAAGATCAATGGAAGGCTTGGAGTTATCCCATACTCTTGAGCTTAGAGAACTAACAATATAGACTACATTGGGAGTGGGGAAGAAGGGGCAGGAGTTATTTCTCTTTTTTATTTCATGTGACAATTGTTGTGTAGGGATAAGAATTGTTTACTAAGTGAGCAAGATTAGAGCAGAACAGTGTTGCTTAGAGAGTTCATACTTCTGGTTCTCTGAAGACTGCTTAAGCCTGAAGCCTGAAGAGAGAAAGGGGCACAGGAACCAAGTTCTTGATAATATGGAACAGTCTGACTGAACACTTATTTTATGTACATTTGTACTTGGATGCTTTGAATCTGCAGTTCATGTATATTGTTAGGCCCATTTTAGTTGGTGCTGAAATTAACAGCTGTGGGCTCTACATTCTGCACAAGGCCAGGCCCTCCTATTCTGATGGTGCTTGCCAGAACTCCATCTCAGGATGTTCTTGGTGCCCAGCCTAAAACTCTTGCTGTCTAGGGTTTCTTAGTTGAGAGATCACCTCTATGAGTTTATTCCTACTATTCCACCTTGCCATGTTTTAAAACTTTGGGAATGAAGATATTAAGATGTATCAGTGATTTTTCTCCCAAAGGAGCAATAAGGGAAAACATTGTATGGTTTTACTCGTACCATTGTTGTGCATCAAAATAAGCCAGTTCCTCCTGTTCCCAGAAGGTTGACTGAGCTCCTGTCCTAGATTCTGTAACTTCTTTCTGGCCTGATTGCCTTGGATTCTCTACATACTGGTAGGGTAACAGAGTGTTCCCATCAGGCTTGTCACTGTCTTTTCCATCAAACATAACCTCTGTGAAATTCCACAGTGATTGAGACTGTTTAAGTCAGTTCACACTTTATGTATTCCAATAAAGTACTTCATTGGAAACTCAGAATTAAAAATAAATAAATTGTCTACTTTATCAGTTCTCACTTATTTTAAGGAAAAGTTTATTTGGGAGGGGAATCATATTGATACTCATTCTACACTCCTGTCCATCAAATGAAGTAACTAGTGCAAACTAGAGTTGCACAATTATTCTGTCAAATTTTCCTTGTTATTTTGCAGGATTTATTTTCCAACTATTTGTAATGAAAATGATAACTAAGGCACTTAATTGTTTGCATTATATGTAAAGAATTTACAGGACTGGCTTTTGTTGGAAAACCAAAAGTTGGCTGTGCTTCTGGCATTGTGCACCATCTATAGATCTGTTCTTAATCCTAACATAAGGTAATGTCAATATTTGATACACTATTCTTCTGGGGAATGGGGAGCGGTATTCCCCAAATTCATATTTTCTTCCTTCTTCCAAAACCACTGCCACTGGAAACAAATATGATTGGATGAATATACATGAATGTATCTTAATTTGGCCATTCTGATTCAGAGCAAGTGCCATTTTGGGTAAATTCTTGCTCTTTTTCAGCTATGCCTAGCACTGAATTTTGAGTCCAGATGTGCAAAGGACATATTTTGCTAGAAGAAAGGCTGTAGAAGTTCTGCTGCTGAACAGCACCTTCAAGAGGCTTTTTTTTTTAGGGTTGGAAGGGGTTGCAATACTCATGGCTTTTGTGCATGCAATGTATCTTTTTGTGGTTGGTTTGGGGACTATATTACTAGCACTGCTAGTTACATTTCCTTGGTATTAACATTGTCATAGCTGGTATATGTACACAGATTGCATAATCTTTACCTTGGGACCCTTAGCATCTAAGTAAAGCCTGTAGAGTTGAACATTTGTGTTGGAGAGAAAATGGAGTTGAAAATGTGGCAATTCCAAAGTTTTAGAATTTTTCATTTAATCCAAAATTTCTCTATAAATTGCTATTGCATCTCTTTGTATTGTACTGTATTGACTCCTTCTGATAGAGGCTTGGGGGGCGGAGGGTGGAGAGATACATTTAGCGGTAATGAAAGACTAAGATGGGATGTGGTTTAGAATTTCCACAGATCTATGTGGAACTCCTGAATGAGTCTTACCATTGTTAATTTATAGCTGCCCTCACAATCAGTTTAGATCCCTCTGAGGTGGTAGAGTGCTAGATAAATAGAATGATAGATGCCAGGAGACAAATATGTTAATATATAATGACTAATCCTGTCTGTGAGAGAGTGGTTAAAGAAAAGACCCAGACTATTTAGATTTTCTAGCTTTCCCCCCATACATGACTGTATCTTAGTAGAAGTTTTTGTATTTCAAGTGAAAGATCCTCTTGTCTGATCCAGGTGACATTTTTTTCCATACTATATGGCACTTTTAGATGAGGCAGTATTCCTCATGTCAGAATATATTTACATACTTTTTCAGGAAATACAATCAATAGAAACATAACACATGGGATGCATTTTAACTTCCATGTAAGTAGTCAATATATTCTACTATTCCAGTCTAAACTATAGCTTCCTTGGATCTATTGTTTTCGGATGTTTCAATCTCAGTCCTCTTCTTCTGTAAGTTAAAGGTAAGTTAGGACCAATGCTATGCCAATCCTTAACCATTTCTCTTGCAACACCTTTTTTTAAGCTGCAGAAAGCTACTTTGATGTATTACACCAAGAGGTAGGAGGGTGGGAGGGTGGGTGGGTGGATGGATAGATAGATCAGTGCCACATTGGCATGCATGCACACAAATGCACATACACACACACATCAGTTTCTCCACTTATAGTTCTGCTACTACAGCCTGCTTATCCTATTTATTCATTCATTCGTTCATTCGTTCATTCTTTCCTTCCTTCCTCCTTTCATTCATTCATTTAATTAATATAGCCACCCATCTCACATATGTGACTCTTGGTGGCTTACAAAGTTAAAAGCACTAAAACAATACCAAAAATAATCAAACATAACAACAAAAATTAAAACAATAAAAACTATTAAAACAACAAAAAAAGCATAATCTCCAGGAGAGCATAATCAATTACCATCTAACAATACAGCCACTTTCAGGCTCCACACCACCACTGCCAGATCCCCACACCAGATGGCAAAGCCATGCCTTTAGGTCTTCCCAGAAGGCCAGTCATGTTGGGGCTGGACCGACCTCAGGGGGAATGATGTTCCAGAGGGCAGTTGCCATGGCAGAAAAGGCTTTCCTCCTGGGTCCTGTCAGATGAGATTCCTTTGTGGACTGGACCTGCTGGGATGGGCAGATGTCATTAGTGATCATTTTTCTTTTTGCTTGAGAAGCCTCATTTTTTAAAATAGACATGTTCAAACTTGCCTTTAGTTGAATGAAGGGTAAAGACTGGAAGTCTGAAGCCTCATAGCCTAAAGGACTTACTTACGTGTTTTCCCTAAATCAGTGAAGAGGAGACCCCTGCAATAACCTTGCATTCTCAACAAAATCTAAACTAGCAGAATGCAACAGTGGAGGTGTAGTTGTCACTGGTCATAAAAGCAGTTGCCAATTGCAGAATGCTTTATCTTGAAACAAAGCTTTTGAACTGCTAAAACCTGGTTATTCATCTACAGCTCTAGAAGTGAGCAAAATTTGAGGTTTTGAGTATTCAAATTCAATATTTCAAAAGTTTGAGTTTTGAGGTGTAAGAACTGGATACTTGCATAAAGCTTGGATGATATATATATATATATGTGTATGTGTGTGTGTACACACATATGTACATACACATATATACACACATACACACTTGCATAAAGCTTGGAGGAGAGGGAGATATAATGTATATATATATATATATATACACACACACACACATACATACACACACATATACACGTATACGCACTTGCATAAAGGTTGGAGGAGTTATATATATACACATACATACACACATGTATATACACAAATACACACTTGCATAAAGCTTGGAGGGGATATATATATATATATATATATCCATCCATCCATCCAGAGTGGCTGGATAGCATAGTGGTTAGAACACTGCCTTTGACGCAGAAGACCGGGGTTCAAATCCCGGCTGGTACCTACCTTACCAGTAGGGGTCCTTGGGCAAAGACCCCCTAACGCTTCATGTGCCTACC